TTTTTTTAAATCTGCTCATAAAGTTCATGAAACTTTTACCTTAATGTGTGGCACTTGACTTTGGTTTTCACGGCCTTCCTATGATTCCCAGCTTTAATGTGAACATCCACACGGACACAGCCACTTGCGCGCTAGATCTGTTCTGCTCCAGACATTCACTCACTCTTGGTCAAGCGTGTCCTTTGAAGATAAGAGGATAAACTTGCTTACACAGAGGCAAATACCCCTGGCAAACATGTCTACTGTCATCTATCACCTAGGGATTTTTGTATGGATGGAATGAAAAGGTTAAGCCAGCGGAGGACACTGCAGAGGCTGCTGCATCCTGTATTGCAGTGCCTGGCTCTTGCGTTTCAGCTCCGACTGATGGAGAGGACTCAGGTGCTTCCAGGCTTCTCATGTTGGCCAAGTGAGCCACAGGATGAGATTTCTCCTTGTCTTTCTTAATTTTTTTAAAATAATATTTATTTTTCTTGGAAAGGCAGATATAGAGGGAGGAGGAGAGACAGAGAGGAAGAGCTTCCATCCGATGATTCACTCCCCAAGTGGCCACAACAGCTGGAGCTGAGCCAATCCGAAGCCCACAGCCTCTTCCAGGTCTCCCACATGGGCGCAGGGCCCCAAAGCCTCGGGTGGTCCTCGACTGCTTTCCCAGGCCACAAGCAGGGAGCTGGATGGGAAGCGTGGCTGCTAGGATTAGAACCGGCGCCCATATAGGATCCTGGCGCGTTCAAGGTAAGAACTTCAGCCGTTAAGGCTATCGCACCATGCCCTTCTCTCTGTCTTTTTGCATTTCAAATAGAACAAAATAAAGTGAAAAATCCAAATATTAATAGGTATGAAATGTAAGCATTCTATTTCATGAGGTCTGGAGTTGATGACTGAGTAATGGAAAATTTTTGAAATAAGCAACAGCTGGCATTGGTTAAAGTGAACAAATGTGCCTTAGTCATACGACCACTTAAAAAATGACAAATTCCAAATCCAGTATTGTTACTTTCTGTTTTCATTCTCTCCTCTAGAACACAATTCATCTTTTCTATTAAGAAGTTTATGTAGCTTGTTTAAATAGCAAAATCTCTACCTCGTTGCATTGCCCGTGTGAAAAAAAATTCAATTGTCTGCCTGAAGAATTAATTTCTTTCATACTTTCCAAAGTTTACAGTTATCAAGTGACTGGAGTGAGAATTTTTTGGCTGTAAGAGCACCGGATTTCTTATTTTTAAATAATGTTCCTTTAATTTATCCAGAGGCTAATCTGTTTTCTTTTCTCTCTAGACTGAACATTTTAATTTCCTGTGAGCTGATAAAACCTAATTTGCAAAAAATTAACACATGCTAACGCCAGGTTCTTAATCCCCAACCCTCCGAAGATCTCAGACAAACACTCCATTTTTCTAGAGGCTATTTTTTTTTTTTTAACTCAATTCAAGCAACAAAATTGGCATTTGATTCTGATTCTACGGTTTAGTTTCTGTTCTGGGAGAGAAACTCCTTTTCTCAGAGATTTGGGGAAAGCATCTCTAGTTTGCTCATCTGATTTTACAATGTCAGACGCGAGAAAACACAAAATACAAAGATGAAGTTACTTACCTATGATCACACTTACGAGCAGAAGTCAAACATCTTCCTGTCGTTACACACACGGATCTAGTGTTGCACAAGTGCCACGTGTGCTCATTTATGCTGCACTGTTGTGGGGAGAAAGATCCAGCTGATACTGTGATGGCCTACAGAGCCCTGCACAATTGTTCCCAGCTTCTTTCAACTTCCTGGGGCTTCACGCATCTTGTGCTGGCTACTGGCTTTCTCTGGCTTCTTGGTTGCATTCCAGTTTCAGTAGTCTGCCTATACGGAGAGCATGCACTTTGGGTGCATTGTGTGGTGTGTGTGTGTGTGTGTGTGTGTGTGTGTGTATGTGTACGTGTGTGTTTGTGGACCAGGGTGTTGCGTCTGATTATTTCAAAAGAATGGGCAACGGGAGCGTATCACGTGACAAAGCTTTCAGCAGTCCCGGCCTCTCACCATCTAAGGGCCCACCTGCTGCGCTCACAGGTGCAGCTGATCCAGTTTTTAGAACAGAATTTCCCTATCCTGGAGTTCCCCCCACCCCCCGAAAGGTGGATTTGCAGGGATCCTTCTCTTCCTGAGAACAGCAATTGCACCAAGCATTTTTTGGCAAATGGTTAGCAGTACTAGAGAGGATTTAAAGTACAGGGGAGAAGATGTGTTGGTCCTATGCTAATAATAAATGCTGCGTCTCAAAGGGTTTTGAGCTTCAATGGATTTGGCTGTTGACCGAGAGACAATTGTGCAGTTCAAAGAACGCAGGTCTCATGTTCAACCAAACCCTTGGCAAACCAGTGCGCTTCTGTCCATGTCCCTGAATTCCTGTGTGTCACCTGACTAATTACAGGTGGCACTCGATGAGTTTCCAGTAAACTGGCAGAGTCACTGGATGATAGAAACAGAAGCTGTTCTAGAAATCACCGAGGTGCAATTTGAGCAGGGGGAAGCCCAGACATAAAGGAGCTGACTAATTTCCTGAAGCTAATGGGTGCCCTGAGTGGGGCTCTGCTCTGGCTGGGAGCAGAGCCAAAGCAGTTAGTCTCCTCTCTGTGCCTGGCTGTTCCGTTACGGCTCCAGATCTGTCTGCTGCTGAAACAATTGTAAAGCTGGCTATTTTACTACCATAGAGTTTTTTTTAAAGACAAGAGTTCTTTTTAACTGATAATATTTTTTTTTAAATTCATTTTTAACTGTTTTATACTTTTTCCAGTAAATTCTGGTAAAATGAGACTAGAACTGTTTAAAAGACACACAGAGCTAGTATATTAATAACTTGGGATTTTTTTCCCCTCTCTCTCTCTCTCTCTCTCTTTTTTTTTTTTAACAACCATAGGTGTGCCTGTTGGGCAATACGACCATCACAGAATACGAGTAAAGAGAAATGAAGTCAGAACAGCCACCAGGCAGGCAGGCTTGGTTCTACAGGCACTACTGACTTTCTGAGCACCAGCTCTAAAGTGGCACATTGCTATGGAGCTGGAAGCAAGGAGGATCCCAAGGACTGAGTACTCCTCCACAGAAATCAAACCCTCCAGGACCTTATTCTTGAGGTTTCATCCAGCACACACACAGGTCCTTCGTAAGATCATAAGACCTCCCCGCCCCCTTTAGCTGAGTGGTTGCAAGGGAAATAGATTCCAGAGTTTTTCGCTAGTGGCAAAGGGGTTTATTCTGCTTTCTGTGAGCGCTGGGCCTTCCTGCTGTGTCATAATTCAGTTATTTGTCGCCAAGCATTTCCATGTCTGCTGCTGAGTTTGCTCAGAGGGGTGACGCTAGACTCCTGCGGTCCTGAACTTTTGAGCCCCAAACCAGTTAGGTTTGTGTCAGTCTGCTATAGGATAAGAATATGGGTTTATTTTTTCAGAAACCCAAACACTGTAGCTATTGAATATAGGAACTTCTTTAAGGACCTGTGCAAAAACTTGTTCTGCAGAACTTGACCTAGAAATTTGAAACCCAAGTTCACTCTTTTTCTTCTCTATTTTCTCTAGTGCATTTAGGAACAACCAATCAGCCTCATTGTATTCCTCAGTTTAGCAAAAGACTCCAAGGTGGTAAATACATGGCAACCAGGATTACTATTCATAAGCATCTAATTAGGAGTATCCAGTCATGATAGTTTGTCTCGTTCTGTTGCTACATCATGCCGTGGGTCACTAGTGCTCCTTTATCATAGGATGAGAGCCATTGCTGCATTTAAAACTAATCAGAGTAGAGAACCAATCTCATAATGGTAGTTAAGTCAGAAAACAGCTTTAACATCATGTTCTAGAACCATGGTTAGTGCCCATGAGCATGGCAAGTGTTCGCCGAGGATGCAGAGCCCATGGAATGAGGAGAGCCATCAGTTCTGAGTGTGTCATCCCAGGGTTAGCACCATTTTGTAAGACTACAGCTCATGGCCCCCCCGTCACTCTGTTGCTTGTACCATCCCCTTCTGCAAGCATAGCAGCCACAGGAGCAGACTCATCAACGCAACCTCAGAGGACTCCCAGTGGCAGGGGGACATGGAGCCAAGAAAGTCTTTTAGACAAATCAAATGGGCCAGGAGCCCTGTGTTCTACATGTGGGCAAGGGAACAGTCTTGCCCGAGTGACTGCTGGTTTTGAGGGTCACACCAGAATCCAAGGATCAAGTGTTCTCGAAGAGAAAACAGACCAGAGGGAGGACAAGTCTGCCATCCAGGCTTCTTGAAAGTTCTCCCTGCAGTGCACTGCTCAGGATTCCCCGAGACAATGGAAGAAGCCAGAGGAAGCCTACCCAGCATTTCTGCCAGGAACCTGGAGCAGCCTAGGGCATTCCAGACCTTCCGAGGACAATCCAGGGAGATAGGAAAACGGGAGAGAACCACACTCACTCCGAGTCCGAAGCCAAGCAGCCCGCACAGCAGATTTTCTTTTTACACAGTGATAAATACATTCCACAGCTCCTCGAAACCAGATGGCAACAGACGATGGAGAAAGTCTAAAGCAGCATCTTGTGCTGGCTGCATCCACTGTTAGGTCAGACCCATTGGCTGTGGGAGTTCAAGGTATTTTCCAGAGAATTAACTTTCTCTTTGAGGTGTAGGGATGGCAAGTGATGGCTAACAAAGACAGGAAATGCCCAGAGGGCCAGAATTTTCTCTTTCACAGCCCCATTATAATGCAAGAAGCAACGATTTCATGTTTGGGCCAAATTCCCTGGAAAACTTCCAGGAGTCTTTTAAGGCCCTTCTAGCCCATCCTGGCACATGATGTTTGATAACAAATACAGGCAGTGGACACTCTCTCCAGCAGATGGAGCCACTTGCCAAAAGCATTGATAGGGATCATTAGATCGTGTGTGTGTGTGTGTGTGTGTGTGTGTGTGTGTGTGTGTGTGCGCGCAGTAACAATGGACAACAGTAACTAAGCCATGCACTGCAGCATACTGGAAGTTACAACGAGTAGATGCCCTACAAGAAGCTCAGGTGAGACGGGAATTCAGCTTTTCCTTATTGTAAAGACCATCACGGAGGTCAGTGTTATATAGCACACCTGGTTAAACTGCAGCTTGCATTAGCAGCTTTCCTTAGCAAAGTGCCGGTTTGGGTCTGAGCTGTCCTCTAAAAGGCCTGTGGCGCCACCTTGTGGCATTCCTGTCTCACACACCACACACACGCATACAGATATTTCCAATTGAAGCACCACGGTAACCCTTGCAGCAGCTTCCAGGAAACTTGACTCTACCCTCCTGCCTCTCCGACTTCCAAGTTTACTTTGCTTAGTTACTCGTTCCCGTTTATCTCCTAAATGGAACTGTTTCTGTTGTGGGACTCCCTTTTGTCCTGTCTCCGTCCCGAATGCAACTGTGCCAAGAGAGTTCTAAGAGGGGACTTGGAACTTTTGCAAACCCTGTAGGAGCCCCGGGGACACGATGGGAATGGTTTCAGGTTTACATTGCCAGGCCTGATGGTTCCCCGTTTACTCTACCTTTTGCTTGCTGACGATTTCACGCACTGGCTTCTATTGTGTGATGTTCACCATTGTCATGGGTACAAAAGCAAGATCCGGTCTTAGTGTGCTGGGAGAAAGTTCGCTACACATTGTGGACAGAACCTTCACCGACACCTTACGAATGCTTTCCGAGGCAGAGAGAAATGTGTCCTAGACATTTTGTGCATTCATTCTCTCTTATCAGTTGAATGAATCCCTTTTATTTTGACATCCCAAATCAGAATTGATTCGCTTTGGCATATTCTCATCATAGTATTTCTTTTTCAGCTCCTTCTTACTGTGACTAAGAGTATTTCCACAACCCAGCCCTAAATTGGGTATTTTGTACTTCATGTTTAGATAATACCCCGATGCATCTCACTGTAGCATGTTTCACTTAGCTTATCCTGTTTGTGTCTGCGAGAATGACCTTTCAAAGACCTGAATTCTCAGGTGAATCTAACTGGATACAGGTCCAATGCTGTCCTAAATAAAGCCTGTGACGTAGCTCCCTCCGCAGTTCAGCATTAGCTTATATTCTCAGTACCTCTGAGACGTCATGTGTCTTCAAGCTTATCATATTTCTGCCCACTGCCAGTCCTTCGAAACCATTGCCCATCCTATATGACTCGGTTCAATCGTTAGAATTCGATTGTCACGTTGTCTTTATCAAGCTTTTTTTCTTGGCCCTATAATCAAATTAATTATTTCTCTCCATCTTTGACAGAAAGACACATATCACGTCTTTTTTTCTCTCATTCATATTGATTGCATGGGTGTGTGTGATTTCAACACACACACACACTGTATACATACATGTAGTGTTGGAAGTCATGACATTTGGTACATTGGTATTTAGAAATTCTTGATTCACACGTATGCTCTCACAATCACATATCCTCGCTTTCTCATTTTATGATTTTTTTCCATGAATGCCACTTTATTCAGTATTAGCATACTCCCCCCTGCTTTCGAAACACAGACTCTGTGTTAAAATGTTAAAAAGCATTACTTCACGTGTGCTTGATGAGCTGTTCTTTGTGGTTTTTGTTTTGGAATTATTTGAAGTATTTCAACATACAAGATGAAGTAAGAATTTTTAATTGAAAACTATGCCGAGTGTTTCCATAATATACATTGCCCATGAACAGTGCTGAGGCACTTGGGGTGGAAAGCCAGGCTGCATACTTAAACTGCTGTAACTTGAGTAAGTTTTTAAAAATGTCTAATATATGAGAATTTTCTTGTTGTAAAATGAGGATAAAATTTGTCCCCACGTGACAGGTTTGTATAAAAATAAAAATATTAGTGGGTACAAGGCACTTAAACACTACCTCTCACATTCTAACTGCCCAGTAAATGATTTTATTCTTAGAAATATCATCTACTTAACGTGTCCTATGCTACCATCCCTTGCTCCATAGTGGGAAATTAAGCAAATTAGATGGGCTGATTCATGTTCTAATCAAAAGAATTGAAAGTTCAGTAGCCATTATTTCCAACACACAGCTCAGACAAGGATGAAAACAGGATCAGCACATTTTAACTTGTGATCTGCAGATGGGCACTGCAAATTTTTCATATAGAATACCAATCATCTTGGACATTTTTACTTCAGCTTCAAATTTGGGCAAAACTGTGTTATTGAAAAACCAGAAGAGAAAAAGAGGTGAGAGTGGGCAGGAGACTGTGTTAAATACCAGCAGTGGACTGTTCCAGGCTGAATCCCAATTATAGGTGGTCAATTTATAGCTTCTGGTCCTGATGACCCATGATCTGGAAAGGCCTGTTGAATCAGTTGCAGCAAAACACTGAGTTCTAGGACTCAGCTGGATTCTTCAGAAATGTATGATTTCCAATCTTGCAGTTCTCTTTGATTATCAGTCTGAACTTCAGTTACAGATTACTTTTTCCATGAGCATAGAAAATTACTCCAGCATAGACTCCAGCTTTAGATCTTAGAAAGGGAGAGATCTCCTCTCTCCCCAGTCCATAGGTTACACTCAGAAAAGGCTTAGTTCAGCATTTCATCTGCTCACATAGTTTTTGTACCATGAGGAACGGACAATTCCCTCTGGTCAATGTCTTTAATGAGCATCACCTTGGGGCTGTATGGCAGGAGAGTAGCACAGCCTTGGGAAACTGGGAGAGATTTGTCTTAAAGGGAGACAAAATACTGGAAGCTGTTACTTGATAACATGAACCAAACCCCAAATATTTAGTATAGAAAATACATGGGAAATGGCATGTGACACTGAAATTTCAGTTCATTGTAACAATTTACTACATACCATTTTTTTCCCAGCGACTAACTCCATTTCTTTAATTACTCTCAACACGTCATACCTGTTTCTCTTTCTCTTCTGTTTTTGCAGGTAGGATGAATTCATGCTAACTACAGTTTTCAGAAACTTACACAAAATTTTTTGATTTTGGTCAAAACACCACAATTTTGACCTCAAGCTTGCTTTCTTTTTAGGAAAAGAGGAAGCTGTTAAGAAGTAAAAAATTATACTTCCTAGTTCCATACACCGCTTTTCTTCATTATAAACCCACATTTCAGTTGGGCCAGTCTTCCTGATGTTAAAAGGACGTAACTATAGATTTTCCAAGAGGAAGAAGCCATGGTATCTGCTCTAGTTTTCAATAGAAGAGAATTGTCTCAGAGAAGATTCGTGAAATTTGTGAAAAAGTGGTAGAAGCAGTGGCTTTCTTCTGGGGGAAATAGTGGGCAGCACTGCAACTCTAGAAGAGGCTCCCAAAGGGTAGCCTGTGGTAGCATTAGATTGGGCTCAAAGCCATGAAGAGGCTCAGGGTGACAGGAATGGCCAGAGGGACAATTTCTCAGGAAAGCACCTATACCAGGGTGCTTTGAAAAGTTCCTGGAACAGTGGAATTAAAAGATATGTTTATGGCGGTGCCAAGTGAAATCCATGAAGTGTGTTTTTTTCCTCATAATGCACATTTCCATGAGTTGCTTGAATTATCCTTGCAGCTCTACCTTCCATACTGCTCCATAACAAGTCTGATAGAATGATACCAACGAACTCTAAAGCTCGCTGATGTAAACAGGATCTGCCTACCCTCTACCAAATGAGCTAGGACTCTTACATTCCATTGTTTCATCTCTAATTCCTAAAACTGGAGCTGGACTCCTAGACCACTGAAATGTCAACATTGCTTGATAAGAAATGTTCAGCACCTGTGCTAAGCAGAAAATTCTGCTTCCGTGGTTTTTTTTTTTTTAAAGAGATTTATTTATTTTTATTTGAAAGTCAGATACACAGAGAGGAGAGACAGAGAGGAAGATCTTCTGCCCGCTGATCCACTTTCCAAGTGATCGCAACGGCAGGAGTTGAGCCGATCCAAAGCCAGGAGCCAGGAGCCAGGAGCTTCTTCTGGGTCTCCCATGTGGGTACAGGGTCCCAAGGCTTTGGGCCATCCTCCACTGCTTTCCCAGGCCACAAGCAGGGAGTTGGATGGGAAGTGGACTTGCTGGGACACAAACCAGCACCCATATGGGATCCTGGAGCATTCAAGGTGAGGACTTTAGCCATTAGACTACCACGCCTGGCCTTCATGATGCTTTTAACAATGCAAAAAGAATACATTGCATACAAATCAAACTATTTTTCATCTGCATTCAAATAGCAAATTGATGCATCCACATCAAACGCCTCTGTAATATATGTCACATGAGTGATTCAAAAGTAGAAACTCAATGTTCTCTTTGGAAACCTTCAAATATATATCTTGGCAGTTAAGAAACAAAACTGCCAGAGAGTGCAGGGGTCAGAGGCAGGAATGAAGTTGTCACATATGACACACATGCCACACCCAAGTGCCTGGTTCCAGTCCTGGCACTACGTTCAATTCCAGCTTCCTACTGAAGTGCAGTCTTAGAGGCAACAGGTGAAGACCAAGACCTTGGCGTCCCTGACACCTCACATGGGTGTCCCAGATGGAGTTCACCGTCTCTGGCTTGGTGAACCTGTACTGTTGGCTGCCCAGAGAGGAAAGAATACATGCAAAGGCCCCGAGGTGGTCCAGGATCTGAGGGAAACCCAAGGGCTCAGTGGGCATAGAGGGAGAGTCTGCCAGGGGACAGATGAGGGGAGCCAAGTCCTGCCCTGTAGGGTTTGGGGCCAAGCATGGGTTTGAAGCATAACAATGCTTCGAGTCCACACATGGGGCTGCTAGGCAGAAAAAAACAATCCATGCTGGGCACCAGATGAGAGACAGCTGGCTAACACCCCGTCCCAGGCCTGCTTCTGCTTCCTCAGTCCTGGGGCAAGGTGTAGGATGATCTTACATAACTGGGGAGGCCCCAGGGCCACCCCTGGTCATGACCACTTTCGACCACTGCACGGGAAAGGCTTCCCCAGAGGAAGCACCTGAGCACTTTTTCACTGCCTGGCATGTAAATACCAGGAAACTGGGGCCACACAACCTGCCTTAGCCAGGATTCCCTGCCTGCTTGCATGCCAGCCCCTTC